CCTCCTACCCTGACACGTCGATTAGTGAATCGGCCGTTTTCGGTTCGCGTGAGGGCGTCGCGGCCGTCATTTTTGCGGGTCGAGGTCCGCCGGTTTCGGTTCCAGGCCGCTGTCACTAAAGGGTGGTTTACTAAAGGGAGGTTTGTCCACCGCCGAGTATCCCTGCCTGCTAGATGTAAGTCGGGCGTGTCCCGCTACAGGAGTAATATTCAAACATAGAAAAAACAGTCTGGGAACGACTTTAGGAGTATTGTTGAGTGTGTTTTGAGCTATTTTTGCATACTCGTAATATTTCGCTCCAACCCCGCCTGTAGGGGGGCATGCCCGACCTGATGCTAGATGTAGGGATCTCGCAGCGGTTGTCAAAGTTATCGTGCCTCTTCTGTCTTGCAGGTTCACGGAGCGACCCTCCGGCTCGCGGACGCGCTTGCGAAGGCCAGCTGTGCAGACTGCAACAAACAGCAAGCACGTCTTCAGCTTCTCCAGCGGCAACCGAAGTGTCGTCGAGTTGCCCAAGCGATGTTCACCGACGGCGGTGGTGTCTCCGCTGGGGTTGCTTGTATCGTATAAGTGTGATGGCGTATTTGTTACTTAGTCTTATACTGCGACCGCGTACTGTATAGCTGCGACCGCGTACTGTATATCTGTGACCGCGTACCGTATAACGGTGGGGCTGTTCGTACTGTGTAACACTGACAGCGTACTGTGACCGGCATTGCATAATATTTTGAGCGCTCCTTGATTATGAATTGGCGCATGGGCCACTTGTGCTCCAAATGATGTGGACGTTACCGTTGTCAACGTTGTTGTAAGTATGTTCCATCTCCATATGAATAAATGATTTGGATTGCGTCCACGTGCGGCATCGAATCTGATGCACGCACTGCAGTGGAGCTGCCTCGCGCCAGCGCAATTCCAAGGGTGCCAAGTGGATGTGGGCACATTCTGAAATTAACACGGCTTGGACAATGAGCCGACCCATCACGCAGCCGGCTTGGAAGTAATACGTCAGCTGAGATTCTGTCGTGTTGAAACAGCGATCACGTTGTAGACAGAGCGGGCATGCAATGGTTGCACTGACATGGTCGTGTGTCCAACGTTCTCAATGGGTACCTTCATCCCCCGTCATGTTTCTTCCTTTCCACCTTGTTGTCAGGGCTTCTTCCCTTATTGGGCACTCTTCCCGCTCTCTCTGGTTCTCGGTGGGTGCCCCTTCCACCTTGTTCGGGCCGTATGGTGGACATCTGAAAGCATGGACCCGTGCTTGAAGACGTTTGCCTCCCCGCAGGGGATGCCCCCCTTCACAGCCTGGATTCGATCGGTCCCGCAATGGTCATTGAGGTGAGGAGGGGCGATCGCCAGCGATTGTTTCACATCGCTACCCGTGTTAGATCGCGAGTTTGGGGCAACCAGTCATCCGCCGTTCTTGATGTTGATGCCCTAGTAGCCCAGCCGAGGCAGCCGCTCGTCTCTGGACGAACGACGGGGGCGCGAAAGAGGGAAGGTACACACGGAGTTTGCTGCACGCGGCCGGCTTCGGCTTCGCTGCCGCGCACTTTCTCGACGCACGGCCGCCTCCGGCGCCCTGGCGGCGCCAGGGCAAATTAGCTGCATGCAGATGATGCGGTTACCGCCCCTTCGTCCGCCCCGTTCCTTCCGTTTCGCTGCCGCGCCCCTTCCTTCCATCGCCTTTGTCCCTCCTGTCGAACCATCTCCGTCGCCACCTCGGTGGCATCTTGCCTCTTTTCTCTGTCATCTACCTGCTTCTCCTGCTCCTCCTCCTCCTCCGCGTCCTCCTCCTCCTCCTCATCCTCCCCCTCCTCCTCCTTCTCCTCCTCCTCCTTCCGTAGCCATGATCCTTGATCCCTTTCGGCTCTGGCGGGCTTGAGGCGGGCGCACTTCGAAGGGGCGCGGCCCGTCCGAGTGGGAGGGCATGATATTGCTGGTTCCCTTGGAGCTGGTCAGCCGAGCGAAGCTCGGAGCGCCCAGAGGCAGGAGTTTTGCGCGGCGCACCGTGCTCGTGGAAGAGAAGCGGGTGCTGCTGGACGAGCGCTTCGAGTTGGAGACACAGAAGCGGGCGCCTATGGAGGGGGCCCTGAGGATTTCTTCATCGGCGGCGACCGGCCTCCACCCAAAGGTTGCGCTGTTGGAGGCGCCGCCGGGTTGGATGGGGGTGCGGCCCGCGTATTTGGACCAGGGTTCGCAGGCGGCGAAGTGGGCGCGGGCGGAGACGGAGTTGCCGCCATCCCCCTTCAAGCCGAGGGAATACGAGGCGACGCTAGGGGAGCATGCGGCGTCTGCAAGGAGCCGAAGGAGATGAAGGTGGAGAAGCGGAAGGAGAGGGAGCTGCGGCTGGAGCCGGATCAGTCGACATTGGCCCTCGACCACAAGGAAAAGAGAAAGAAGCTTCAAGAGGTGAAGAGCAAATGCTAGGAGAAGGTGGAGATGCCAGACGAGGCGAAGAAGAAATGGCAGGAGAAGACGGCGACGCGGCGGGAGGTTCAGTCGCCGTCGGAGTCCTACCAGCCCATCTGCCTGAAATTGAAGAAGCGGAAGGCTGCGCAGCAGGTGTCGGAGCAGACAGAGTCATTCAAGCCGAAGGTGAAGAAGACCTCGCAGCTGAACCAGACGATGGCGAGTCGACTGGAGATTGTTTCGTCGGAGGATTCGTTTTAGCATTGGGAGAAGGAGAAGGAGAAGGAGAAGAAACAGACGAAGAGCGCTTCGAGGACGCGGTTGAGCGCGACCGAACGCTCGCAGTCTGCCTCGGCCCCCAATGGACCGCGGGGCTGGAACGCGTGCGGGAAGAAGTAGAAACGGGAGTGCGCGAAGGAAAAGGCCGTCCAGTGTCGTTTTCCGACGGCGCCTTGGGCTGAGAGCGCGGGATCGGGTTCCAGAAGGAATTGGCGGTCGTGTGCCGCGAAAGCCTTCTCAAGGCACACGGCTGGCTGGTGGCCTTGCCAGACCACCACCTTCAACTAGTAGGATCCATCTTCGCGGCCGGGAGGTGTGCCAGGGTGGTAGACCCTCAGAGCCAGGAACAGAGATCCAAAGCAGGAGGTGGAGGCAAGAAGGTTGCTGCCGGCAGCAGAACCAAGGAAAGAAGGCCGCTGGTGTCAGCGCTTCTGGTGCCAAGGTAGTATCGGCTGAGCTTGCGGCAGCAAGAATGCTGCTGGTGTCAGCACTTCTTGTGCCCAGAAGGCATCAGCTGCTGGTGGCAACGGGGTGCAGCGATTTAGGCCCGCAATTGCTGGGCGCAGCGCTGTTGGTGCCAAGGGGTACGGCGGCGGCGTGGAGAGCGACCTCGCCCAGTCGCGCTCGGTGGGCGTCGCGGGCATCGCGGGCGGAGCCCCGTCGGAGGCGGCGACGGCCACCGGGGCCATCGCGCAGAAGGCGCTGGAAGGCGCCCCGAGTTGCTTCGCGGCCCGCCGGTCGCGGCGCTTTTGGCGGAGCGGCGCGGCGAAGGCTAGGTTCAAGGAGTTCTTCGTCTGGGCTTCGCACAGGGCTCAGGAGGGGAAAGAACACAGACACAATGAATCGCCGACTCCCCAGAAAATTTGGGAACGAAAATCCCGAACAGATGGGAAAACATGGGGAACCCTGTGCTTTGTGTCTAATTATTTGTGTGCCCCACGGCCCCTTCAGAGGCGGCTAGTGCTGCCTCTGCCTGGCGCGGGCCTGGGCGCGGCTAGCGTCGGGCGGGTCGCGCGGGCAGGACCCTCTTGGCTAGCGTTAAGTCGGGCCTGTCCTTCTACAGGAAGGAATCTTCAAAAATAGCCAAAACATAGTCGGGGGACCACTTTTCGAGTATTTCTCTGCATCTTCTGAGTCTATTTTGGGCATCTTTTATTTTTCGCCCAAAACCATCCTTGTAAGGGGGACAGGCCCGACCTAAGGCTGGCGCGCTCGCTCCTCGCGGCTGGATATGCCGCGCTTCTGCCCGGGGCCGTGCAGGCGGCGAGGCCAGCGCGCGGGCGCCCCCACTGGCAGCGGGCTGCTCCCGCGCGGGGCGCGACGGCTGCACGCGACGCGCGCGCTGCCACTACTCGCAAAGAGGAGCTGCTCGCAATAATCAGGAAGGAAAGAAACACCCAGACACAATTAGTCGTCGATTCCCAAGAAGACATGGGACAATATATTGGAGGTGGGGGGGGGAAGACGAAAACCCAACAAATAGTAGAACAAACATGGGTAATCTTTTCATTTGTGTGTATGTATTTGTGTGTCCCAGGGCCCCTTCAAAATGGCCTGGGCCCCCCGCGGGGGATCTACGATGAATTCCATCAAAGCAGACGTTTGTTTTGTTTCTCTTTGTTTCTGGCGCGTGCGAGCAGGCACGTTGCGAGTCGTGGAACGCCCTCGGCGATCCACGCCAGATGTCGGGGCGGCCGCCCGCGGCACGGCCGTGGCTTGGCATCGCTCGGACGTGTGCATTTCTCCCTCGGCGAGGACACTCGAGGAGCATCCTTGATCATTTGGCGAAAAAGCCACGCACGAAACCGAAAAAAACACAGGGAATGGACGTCCGAGCGGTGGCCAGGTGGACAAACCTCGTGGCCGCCGCAGCTCCCGTTGCGGTCGCGGGCGCTCCGTTACAGGCAGCTGCTTGAGTTCACCGAGCCGGCACCTTGGTGCGCTTGGCTTCTCCGTTATCAGTTATCCTCCTCCTCCTCCTCCTCCTCCTCCCTCCTCCCTCTCCCCTCCTCCCTCCTCCCTCCTTCTCCTCCACCTCTTCTCATCATCCTTCTTCCGTCCTCATCACCATCAGTACCCCCCGCCTCTCCCCTCTTCCGCCTTGTCCTCCCTCCCCGTCCTCTTCCCCCTTCCCCTTCCCCGCCCTCCTGCTCCTCCTCGTCCACCTCCTCGCTTTCCCCTCGTGCCCCTCGTGCCCTCCCTCTCGTTCTCTCTCTGTCTCTCTCTCTCTCTCTCTCTCTGGCCGAGGCCAGTGCGCGTGCTTGAGTCTAGGCCAGGGCTCCTGTGGCAAAGCGCGCGCTCCCGAGGACCCGACGTTGGACCACACGCCCGAGTCGCTGTTCGAAACTGCAATGGAGGGGACGGAGGAGGAGGAGGAGGAGGAGGAGGAGGGAGGAGGAGGAGGAGGAGGAGGAGGAGGGAGGAGGGAGGAGGGAGGAGGAAGGAGGGAGGAGGAAGGAGGGAAGAGCGAGAAGGGAGGAGCGAGAAGGGAGGCGGAGGAGGAGGAGGAGGAGGAGGAGGAGGAGGAGGAGGAGGAAGAAGAGGATTACGAGGAGGAGGAGCAGGAAAATGAGGAAAACGAGGGGAACGAGAAAGAGAACGAGGAAGAGAACGAGGAGAAGAAGGAGGAGGCGGAGGAGGAGGAGGAGGAGGGGGACGGTGTCGACACGACGACGACGACGACGACGACGACGACGACGACGACGAGGGGAGGGCGGTCTCGGAGGACGCCAGCCAAAAGGCCACACCGATTTTGCCCGAGGCCAAGCTCGGAGCCCCGCATCGATGCAAATGTGCCCTCCATCGGCGGTAGGCGACGGGGGGGAACTCGGAGGGGGCAGGCCTTCTCCTCCTCCTTTTCCTCCTCGTCCTCCTCCTCCTCCTCCTCCTCCTCCTCTCCTCCTCCTCTCCCCTCCTTCCCCCTTCCTCCTGCTCATCATCCCCCCCCCCTCCCCTCCCCTCCTCCTCCTCCTCCTCCTCCTCCCCACCTCCTTTTCCTCCTCGTCCTCTCCTCCTCCTCCTCCTCCTCCTCTCTCCTCCCCTCCTCCTCCCTCCTCCTCCTCCTCCCCTCCTCCTCCTCCTCCTCCTCCTCCTCCTCCTCCTCCTCCTCCTCCTCCCCTCCTCCTCCTCCCTCCTCCTCCTCCCTCCTCTCCCCTCCTCCTCCCCTTCCCTCCATCCACCTCCTCCTCCTCCTCCTCCTCCGTCCCCCCTCCTGCTTCTCCTCCTCCTGCCCCAGACAAATTCCACCGCTCGGGACTCCTCCTCCTCCTCCACCACTCCTTCTCTCTCCTCTACTCCTCCTCCTCCTCCTCCTCCTCCTCCTCCTCCTCCTCCTCCTCCTCTTCATCCTCCTCACGGCGGGGTTTCTGGGAGGCCTCCTCGCCTTTTGAGAAGGCGTCGCTGTCTTCGGAGAGGACTCCATAAATTCTTACCTACACGTCCAGAGCCCTTCCGAGTTCGGAGGAGACCTGCCCCCTCTGACTTCCCCCCTGGGCTCGCCGCCGATTCTTGGCCCAGCCAGGAGGGCGTGTGCTCCAGTCCTGGGCCCTGCCGAGGCCTGGTCAGGATCCGGTGCTGGTGTGCAGCTGGCAACCTCCGACGAGCGGGGAACCCAGACCGGCGGCACACCGATTCCCTCGCTCCTGGCGCCTCCCTTGCAGTTCGGCCTCGTGGGGTCGCTCTGGGGCCCAGGGGCCACCCGAGGATGAACACCAGGCCCCCCAGAGAAGCGGTCGAGGGGTCTGGGGCCCGCGGACTGAAAAAACGATCCACTGGAGGTCGCGGGACGTGGCACGTTGTTGGTTTGTCCCCCCCACGTCGTGTTCCCTTTGGTTCTCCCCCTCGCCTCTACCACCGTTGTCGTCGTCCTCCACATGATGGGGGAGGACGGCGACGAGAACGGTGGACGAGGGTTCCGGGGAGGACGACGACAGCGGAGGACAAGCAGCCTACAGGCGGCCCGGATTAGTAGGTCGGCCCTGCCAGATCAAGGGTACCTTCGTGTCCTGTGTCCTGCGACCCATGCCTCCTGCAGTTCTGCGGCAACGCGGCCCTCGGCAGGGACACGTGTCTTCTCGCGTGTCCGCCCCAATCAGGTCCGACTGCAGCGGCTCTAGGAAGAGAGGGACGGGGACCCCATCCACCTGGGCTTGGGCCTCGGATGCCCCCGTGCGCAGTGCAGGTCCAAGCTCACCCCGCCTCCGCTGCCCAGGCCACTGCAGGGGTGCGAGGGCCCGAGGAAGGCAGACTGTGCGCTGCGCCCGTCGTCTTGGTGTCTCTCGGACGCGTGTCTTTTTTCTCGGCGGGGACCATCGATGAGCAACCTAGATTTGAGTCGGGCACGTCCCTCTACAGGGTGAATCTTCAAGCATAGTCAAAACAAATAGTCAGGGGACAATTTTGGTTAGGAATCGGTTCTGTGTATGTTTAATTTTTCGCCCCAAATCCCCCTGCAGGGGGACATGCCCGACCTAAACCTAGGTCGTCGGGCCCCCCCAACAAAAAACACGCGCGAAGCCAGAATATGCACGGGGAATGGACGCCCGGGCGATGGCAGGAACGTGGCGGGCAGAGCCCTCGGGGATGCGCACGCAGCGCGTCCGTCCCTCGCCGCGCTCCTCGCCCTCCTCTTCCCGCTCGGCGGCCGGCGTCCCCCGTGGCGGAGCCCTCGCTCCCTCGGCGGGGGAGCGGGCGGTGTGCGTCACCACTGCGCCCGGTTCACTCGGATCGAGAGGGGGTGCCGCGCCCTCCTCTTTTCCAGCCCGGTGGCCGGCGTGTTTCCCGCGGCGGAGCCCTCGTTCCCCCGGTGGGGAGTGCGGGCAGTTGTCGTCACCGCTGCACCCGGCCCACGGGATCGCGAGAGGGTGTCGCGCCCGCATGTGCTGCTGGGCTGCGCCCGCCAGGTCGGGTGCGAGGTCGTTTTCGTTCTAGAGTCGACGGGGACGTAATTGCAGTGTTGACCCATGCCAAGGAACACCCTGCTTGCTGCCAGGGTGCTCTGGGTTTCTTGGGTTTCGATGGTTTTGCTGTGGGAAGTGGAAATCGCGACGCTCCCACGCCAAACATCCATGGGCGCCCTGGAGCCTCAGCGTCGGGATTCCTGTGGGAGGTTTACTTTGGACTGGCCTCCACTCTGCAGGACGGAGACGCAGGACTCGAGCTCGGGTTTGCCGACGCTGGTTGACGGGCCCGTGCTGGATCCCGACGGTCGTCCCGTGCCTCGTGGGAGGCCTGCAGCGGGCGCCCTCGTCGATCTTCCGGCCGGGCCTTGCCGTCTTCCTCGCGGCCTCGTCGGGCCAACCGGGGCCCTTCTGGCCGAGGCTCAGCGCCTCCCAGATCTGAACTGAAGTCTGGCCTGTCCCCTTACAGGGGGATCTTCGACGAAAAAAATTAAACCAAAAAAGCACACCCAAACATAGTCAAAACATAGTCCAAAAGTCATATGAGGACTATTTTCAAACTATTGTTTGGCCTTTCTGAGGTATTGGTTTAATATTTTTTTCGTCGAAAATCCTCCTGTAGGGGGACACGCCCGACATAAATCTAAACAGGAGGGAGAAATACGCAGACACAAACCACCGTCGGTTCCCAGGAAGATCTGGAGACTGGGGGAAGTGGAGGGGAGGACTAACGTGCAGAAAAGTGGGAACAGGTTGGGGATCTAAGGATTAGTCTTAACCGATGTAGGATGCTTCAGCCATCCCGCCGGCTCCTAGAACAGACGGGGAGTCCACGGTTGAGGCGTCGTGGACTTTCTTGGGGATTATTTTGTGATGTTGTGTGCGTCTTGGGAGTTGTTTGGGAGCTTAGCGGAGCCTCTTGAAGGCGGTTTTGAAGCGTCTTGGGGGCCGTCTGGGGGTCTCTTTTTGGCATCTAGGGGGCCTCTTGGGGCTTATTGGGAGCCTCTTTTGGGCCGCTCGGGGGCTTCTTCGGGCCTTTGGTGGTCCTCCTGGGGTGGAAAGATATGAGTTTCGGGGATTAGTCAGCGCGTGCCTTTGATAATGTTTTCCCGTCACTGTTCAGAGAATCGGAGTCTGGCCGCGCCGTACCTGAGGCGATTTGTGGCCGCCCCAGATCGAGCCTGTGGCGAGGCTTCCACGATATCTCTTTGGGTTTTACCTGAGAGGTGCGGATGCTGGCGCTTCCACCTCTCAATGTCTAATGGCCTTCGGCCCATCCCGCCACCGTTCGTTGGGATCTCGTGGGGGCCTCTTGGAGGCCGTTTTGATGCCTCTTAGGGGGCCGTTTTTGGGCCTCGTTTGGCCTCTTGTGGGCCTCTTGGAGGCCTCTTGGGGCCTCTTGGGGGGGCCCTTGCGAGCCTCTTTGGGCCTCTTGGGCGTCTCTTGGGCCTCCTGGGGGCCTCTTGGGGCGGCAGGCTCCGATTTTTGATTCGTGTTCCCTCTCTTGGGCCCCCTGTTGGGGCCGTCTTGGGCGCCTCTTGCGCCGTCTTTGGGGCGCTCTTGGAGACCTCTTATGCCGTCTCGACACTCTTTTGGTGGCCTCTTGGGCCGTGTTCGAGCGATCTTTGGGTCTCTTGGGCTGTCTTGGAGCATCGGGAATACGAAAAGTCAGCAACGCCGAACATGTGACAAACCTGAGAACAATCACTGATGTTTGCCTCTTGGGGCTCTCGTGGGGGTGTGTTGGAGGCTTCTGGGGCTGTCTTGGAGGTGTCTGGGGCAGTCTCGAGGCCATTGACAACGTCTTTGAGCTATGGTTCGGCAAGTCGGGGCTCTCTTGGACTGTTGTGGGCGGGCACAGCGTCCAGAGGACTTGCAGGAAACACCCCCGAGCTCACGGGAGGCAGCCCAGGAATCCCCGGGACGCTTCAAGGCTGCCCGGGAAATGGCCGGCGCGGGCCCTCGATGACTTACAATTCTGGCTGCAGCAGCAGCCTGCAGCACAGCCTCTGCCTCTCAGTGCATGAGCCGGGGGGCACTCCATCTCCTGCCGGAGGCACTGTGACGAATCTCCTAGTTCTGGTTGGCGTTGGGGTCGTTCCCATGCCGCCCCGGCGTTCCAGGATGAGCCTGTTCCCAGTCACCACTCATGTTCGACACGCCATCAGTGTCCACTTGTGCCTCTCGTCCGATCTAGCACTGACCGGATCAGTGCTCTGGAGTTTGTTGGCACGGAGTGTCTCTTGTCTTGCGCTGTTCGGCAGGTGGATGGAGGCTGGTCTGCTGTGCAGCGCCCTCTGCACCGTCACGCCCGGATTGTCCTTGACCAGCCTCGCCACTTAGCCAGTAGTACAGTTATCCCACAAAGTAAGGATGAGCTGATCTCCAAGGTTACCCTTGCATCCTTCTTCTTCCGCCCATCCCTGGCCATTTTCGCTGGTCCGGGGACGATATGTATGCACCGTACCGCGTTTGCGTCTCCCGAGGCGTTGTCGAGCTTCGACCCAGGAGTGGTACGCTGCATAGTTTACTAGCCTTTAGGAGCCCAAACAGTGTGCACCGTACCACGTCGGAGCGGGGCCCGAACGGAGTCCAGGCATTCGTGCGGTGCATGGGCGCCGTTCTCGTAGCTGGCCGTGCCGCGCTCGCAAAGTGCCTGCATGGTCTTCCAGGGCCCCGGCATCCTCGTCGTGCGATCTTGCTCTGCGGGTGGACCCTGTCAGGGCAGCTGCCCGCGGCTGTCAAAACTAGGGGAACGAGCAATAACGGAAGCATAACAACTCGGAGGTCCGCGCGGACTCCTCGGATCGGCGCTGGAGCCCCCCCTGGCGGCGCCTCCGGCGCCGCCACTGGCGCGCGGAGCCGGGGGGTCCAGCGCCGATCCGAGGAGTCCGCGCGGACCTCCGAGTTGTTATGCTTCTGTCATTGCTCGTTCCCCCGGAAACAGCTCCCGGCAGGGAGGGGGGGCCGAGCGCCGATCCGAGGAATCCGCGCGGACCTCCGAGTTGCTATGCTTCTGTCACTGCTTGCTCCCCCGAAGACAGCTCCCCCGAAAGCAGCTCCCCCGAAAACCCCGAGAACAGGCTCCCCCGAAAGCAGCTCCCCCGAAGACAGCTCCCCCGGAAGACAGCTCCCCCGAGAACAGCTCCCCCGAGAGCAGTTCCCCCGAGAGCAGCTCCCCCAGAGCAGGCTCCTGTGCCCCCGGAAGAGCGGCTCCCCCGCCCCGTGGCTCGGGCGGGCCAGGGCCGCCCCGCCGCCCGCCCCCGCCGCCCGGGGACGGGGCGGCGCACAGGCCAGCGTCGCCGGCCACCCCCGCGTCCGCGACGCGATCGGGCCCGGGGCGCGCGCCTCGGGTCGGCCTGGCGTCGGTCGATTCCGGAGGTGGAGGAGGAGGAGGAGGAGGACACTCAGACACAATTAATCGTCGATCCCCCCAAAAAGATGGGAAAGTATGGGCAGTGGGGGGGAAGACAGAAGCCCCGAAGATATGGGAAAATATGGGAATCCTTTCATTTGTATATGTGTGTGTGTGTGTGTGTGTGTGTGTGTGTGTGTGTGTGTGTGTGTGTGTGTGTGTGTGTGTGTGTGTGTGTGTGTGTGTGTGTCAGGGCCCTTTCAGTCGGGGGCCACCCTCCCTCCACCGCCTCGTGTTCCTGCTCCTCGTCTCCTCGTTCTGCTCCTCCTCCTCCTGCTCCTCCTCCGTCTGCTCCTCCTCCTCCTCCTCCTCCTCCTCCTCCCTCCTCATCCTCTTCCGCGTCTTCTCCTCGTCGCCTTCCTCGTCACCTCATCGTCACCTCGTCGTCCTCGTCTCCTCCACGCCTCCTCCTCGTCACCTCCGCGTCCTCGGGCGGGCCAGCTCCAGACAGGGTCTATCTTGATCCGATCGGTCCGATTCGATATCGATTTCGGCGCGACCGATCCGAGTCGGTTTCGACTTCGCGCTGGTGCCTGCCTGGTCCGACGCGCATTCCGGTGCGATCCGATGTTGCGATTCGATGTGGATCGATCGTGCCCTGGACCGTCCCCCGCGTCTCGCAGAGGCCTCGGCGGAAGGCTGCTGTCCACTCCCGGCCTCCTGGGGCCCGTGGGTGGTGGCCCTTCCCAGGCCCTGGGGCGGTCAGCGGACGGCTATGCCCAGGGGTAATTACCCTCCCAGGGGTAAGTACCCCCTCCCAGGGGTAAATACCTGGGAGGGTAATCACCCTCCCAGGGGTAACTACCCTCCCAGGGGTAACTATCCTCCCAGGGGTAACTACCCAGAGGACGACATTCCAGATCGATGGTGTAAACCTCCCAGGGGTAGTTACCCTCACGCCCTTGACGGCTCGCTCCGTCCTCGACCGCTCTCCACGGCCGGCCCCGCCCGAAGAGCCCCGACGTGGGCAGCAGAGGGGCTCGCGGCCTTCCTCGCGCATCCTCACTGTCGGTGTTGACTGTCGGCCTGCCCCAGGGGAAGGGCCGAGGCCTTCCGGGGTCCACGGTGCAGAAGAGATATCATGGCGTTGGGGGCCTGGGGAGGGACTCGGCATCGCTCGGACGCGTGCATCTGTTTCTCGGCGGGGACCATCGAGGAGCGTCCTGGATCATCGAGCCAAAAAAGAAACGAGCACGGCATCGGCAAATGCATTGGAAGTAGACGTCCGAGCGATGGCAAGGGGAGAGGAGGACAGAAGGGGGGAGACGGGGGTCGAGCTGTCGCTGCGAGTTGTCGGCGATCCTTGTGGGCCTCCTGGAGCTCCTTGGTCGTCGCGACCGGGTCTGCCTCGAGATTCTGGTCAGGACGCAGCCCAGGAGATGTGCGGGGGCCGATGCTCGGTATCGCTCGGACGTGTGCACTTTTTCGCGGCGGGGATTCTCAAGGAGCAGCCTGGATCATCCTGCGAAAAAGCCACGCACGGAACCGAATAAAACACAGGGAATGGACGTCCGAGCGACGGGGCCGATGTGGGGGAGAGGAGCTCAGACCTCCCACGCCACGAGCAAATAGTCGGCGTCTCGAGCTGTTGCGAAGCGTCCTGGCTAGCCCACAGGCCCACCGCAGAATATTCTAAGGACCTTGTGTGGTGTGCGCGAAATGTGCTCAGAACCTCTCCGGGTGAGACTGTTTTGTGTTCAATGCATTGGGTCTATGTTTTAAGAACATTTGTAGTTGTTATAAGAACATGTTTTGCTCTAAGAACATGTCGTGGCAGGCCTAGAGGAATGCTGGGACGGTCGGTCCCTGCTCAAGCGTCACCCCAACATGCTGAGCGTCGCCCCCAAGGGGTGACGCGCGCGCCGAGAAGTCTTGCAGTGCAAGCTCCGTGGCGGTTTCTGGCCACACCGCTCGGGACACTGTGTATTACAAAATGTGTGTGCGATATGTTGGGGTCGGACGCGCGCCTCCGAGGAGGGCACATCGAGTAATTGGGGGATCGACTGCAGAACGGACTTACCACATGTTTTTTGTCGAACCAATGCAAAATGCTACGCGCGTCCCAACTAACATTGAAGCGGTTGGTTTTCCCAGGTCTTCGGCGTCGAAGGCCTGTTCGATTCCCCTGGATGGCCAGGAAACCATCCAGGACAAAATATTACCCCAGGATGAAGGAGCATCCATACCGCGACCCTTCCCTCGTCTTCCCCTTGTTGGGCGTCCTGGGATGCCCTCGTCGCCATCGCTGGATTCGCGTCGAAAGTCTGATCAGAACGCACCCCAGGAAAGGTCTGTGGAGTAGCGGTGTCGGTACCTTTTCTGGTTTCCCCATGATCAGACGATCGGGAGTTGGGGGTCCACGGACTCAACAAGAAACAGCCCACCAGAGGTTTGGGGTTTTAGGCGGTTGGGGTGATTATCTCGTCCTTTTTGTTTCCTCCTTGTTCCTCCTGATTATTGGAGGATTGTGAGGCGAGGATGAGTTCTTGAGTTTGGGATATAGCGGTTAGGCCAGTCACGAACAACATTATGCAGTGGCCTTTGGCCCATCCCGCCACCGTGCCTGGATTGTGGGCCAGAGTCCTCGTTGATGCTTCTTGGGATCTCTTGGGGTGCCTCTGGGAGGTCTCTCAGGACATCTTGGGCGCATCTTGGGCGCACCTAGGCGTGGGCGACTCTTCGGCGCCTCTTGGGGACTACTGGCGTTCTCTTGGTCCATCCTGGCACTAGAAGGCTTTTGGGGCCACTTCGTGTTCTCTCTCTGGGTCTGGAAATCTTTGAGAAACACAATGTTGCTCAATTTTCTTTTACTTACCTCCAGGAAGCGCCCTAGAGCGCCCAGAACTCTGGGGGCCGATATTCCACAGAGGGATTCGAATGTATTTGAGAGCGCTCTACTAAGAGCCTACTCTGGATCTCACAATAACATGGTGGTGGTCCTCTTCGGGGGGGTCTGATTTGAGCTGTCCTTGAGGGTTCCAGTGGGGTCTGAGTAAACGGCTGCCCTGTCATGGCTCGTCTGGAGGGGGGTCTAAAACTGCTCCTCTGGAGGATTCTGACCCCCTCCCTTTTACTACGACATTCGGAGTGGCACTGTACACTCTGGAAGGGCGAGGGGGACGCCGGGGAGGGCGCGAGACGGGGCAGGAGCAGAGGAGGGGGAAGAGGATGCGAGGAGGAGCGGGAGGCAGCGCAGGGAGGGAAACGGGGGCGTGGAGGAGGCGAGGAGGCGAGGAGGAGCAGGAGAGGGAGGGGCGTGGGTGAAGCAGCAGGAGGACGAGAACCACGAGGATGCGGAGTGGAGGGCGAGGCCGATCGAGATCCAGGCCTGGCCGACGACGACGAGGACGACGACGACGGCTACGACGACGACGACGACGACGACGACGACGACGACGACGACGACGACGACGTCCGCCTGGGGCGGCCAGTTGCACCCTGCCTACAGGGGGGATAGCGCCGCCGGGACGGCCCCGGCCGAGGTGCGGGTCGAGAGCGAGCCCGACAAGGAGCGCGGGCGCCTGCCCGCGCCTCGTTCCCTCGTTCCCTTTTCGGCTGAGCCTGAGAGTGACCCTTCGCTGGAGTGACCTTTGGTGCGGGCCGAACGGGACCCCCCGATCGCCGAACGCGATGCGACAGCAGCGTCTGCCGCGCTTGTGTTTGTCCCCCCCCCCCCCGCAGGCCCCCGAAGGCCGCGCACCCAAGGCCAATCTTATCCAGGGCCGCTCTTGCGTGTAGCCGACCTCGCTCTCCCTCCTTCTCCCCCTCCTCCAAGAATTGTTGTTTTTCCCCTGAGGGCCATAATAACGCGCGGTGTGCTCCCCCCCCCTCCCCGCCCCTCCCCCCCCTCCCATGACGTAACGCTCCTGCCCGCCCAGTGCGTCCCCAGCATTGCCGCAGAGCGTCCAGTACCACAGCCTGTCACGGTGGGGGGACGCGGGCGTTACGTAATGCCCCCCCCCTCGGCGATAACAAAGGGTATTGCCACTTTTGGGGGTGGTTTGCGATCGGCGCCGTCGTTGGCGCCTGGGAGGCACGACACTGCCCTCGTCGTACCGCCTCGGAGCGCGACGGAGAACTCTATATCGAGATCCCCACCCGCCCTCCAGGGTGCTACCACGGGTGCCGGTTGCAAACCGCACCCTTTGCAAACCACAACCTTTGGAGTCGCCGATGCCCTTCTCCCTCCTCCTGTTTTCATGTTGGGCAAACATTAGCGACTAGGCTATCTGTTGCGCTCCTCTTCCTCCTACTCCTCCTACTCCTCCTCCTCCACCTTCTCCTCCCTCCTCCTCCTCCCTACTCCTCATCCTCCTCCTCCTCCTCCTCCTCCTCGTCGTCCTCCTCCTCATTCTCCTCCTCCTCCTCCTCCTCCTCCTCCTCCTCCTCCTCCTCCTCTTCCTCCCTCCGCCCCTTACTCCCTCCCTGGCCCTCCCTCCCTCGCTCCCACCGAGGGAGGGGGGGCGGCAGTTGTCATTCGGGGCGGGGGGGGGGGCCGTCGCCGGGGCTGGACGCAGCTCGGAGGCCTGGTACCACTGGGCCCCAGGAGGGGCCTGGGGCTATGACCGGAGGGTTCAAAGGGGGTTTTTGGGGAGGGGGCTTTCCAGGAGAGGTCCCCCAGGGGCTTCGCGCCCCCTGCTTTGACGAGGTGCCGAGGCGCCCGGGGGGCTCGCTGTATAACCCCCTCTCCCCAAAGACCCCCTCTTTGGATCCCTCCGGTATGATGTTATGATGGGCCCTGGGGCCTGGGGTTGAGCACGCTGGGAGCAACATCGGCCAGGGACCGACTTCGAGGCGCCGTGGCCCCGTGTCACGCCCTGCTATCTTCTTGGACCGTCCGGAAGGCCTCTTGCGGCCCTCTTGGCCCTTCTGGGTGCCCCTGCCTCTGGCCCTCAACAGAGGCACGCGCGGGGAGCCGCACCACGGCACGGGGGGGGGGGCTCGGCAAGCCTGGGGCCCGGGCCCCCTGAGGACCCACAGGAGCGAGGATTGAGGCTTAGAGTTAAGTCGAGCATGTCTCTCTACCGGGGGAATATTGAAAAATAGTTAAAACATAGTCTGGGGGCGATTCTTTGAGTATTTGTTTGGCTATGTTTGAATATGGTTTGGCTATTTTCTTTATTGTTTGTCCTAAACCCACCTGTAGGAGGACATGCCCGACCTAAGCTTAGAGGATTAGGCAAAAGACCTGAGGACGCGCCCACTCCGTGCCGAAGGGCACCTGTGGCGGATACCCACGTAATGTTTACGAATTCGCATCTCCATTCTGCTCCACAGCTGGCCGACTGCAGCCCCATCCAAACGCGTCCGTCCTACCCATCAAGAGCAAGGCAAAGTCATCGTTTTGCACTTCAGCACGGGAATGGGATGCGGCCCACGTCCCGATCAGAATGTGGAATGTTTCTCTTGCGCCCCCTCCCGCCCGCAGCGGTCAGCTGCAGGGGCGGGGGACCACCATTTCGGACTGACTGTGAGTTGTCCACGCCCTCCCGAGGGCCCGGTTGCACTCGGCCTATCACCGTGCACATCGCTTACATTCGAGCGCAGCAAGGGAAGTCGAATCAGTTGCACGCGTCGGTGCCTTGGGGATCCGGGTGCACCAGGGGACACGGGGCTGGGTACAGTTGGACACCTGTTGCTCGCTGGCACATCCTTATCACAGTGGGGCTGACATCTGTTAAGTATGGCATCATTACCCCCTACCCTGCAGAATTTGAACAGTGGTTGTCCGAGTGCGGATTGCCTGGAAAGCAGTCAAAATACGCCTACGCTCGACTCTTACATGCAAGGGGCGCGCTTGCCACAACATGCAAGGAGACAAGTGTGTGATGTGAACTGCTGAGTTGCCCATCGTAGTCACAACTGCCATGTTTCTTGAGTGCATATTCATTCGTGGTCACATCAAATGGCTGCATCTCTGTCCTCCAGGTTGTTTACCGCATTCACGAGGGCATTGCAGAAGTTTACTTAGGCCCGCGAATGATGCGTTCGAATGCGGGGGGATGAGGGTCCGACGTGGGAGAATGAGCACAGTTGTGGGTGAGAGAGAGGTGTTGATGGGATAAAGTGATAGGTGACGGGAAAGAGTGAGGGGTGCGAGACAAATAAGTTGTTCATATTTTGCCAAGAGTTGTCATAGGCATGAGACATAATCGGAAGGATCATTTTCGAGGTGCACCACTCACCATCGAGACAGTGAAAGCCAGCGAGAGGGACAGACTTGGTGGGAGTCTAGAGCTGGATAACAGCCTTACGATGGCACGTGGACGCGGGCACATTGGAGCGATGGTGTTGAGGGACATTGGCAGACAATACTGGGTTTGACCTGGGCTTCGGTGAATGACGCGAGGGTAGTTGGGCAGTGTTGCCATCCAGGCACGTCTCATCTCGATAAACTGGCAAACATCCCCTCTCGTTGTCGCCGCCGTCGCCGTCCTCACCGAATGCGAAGCTGGCTTGCGAAGCATACTGGATTGAGGTGGTGTGGAGGTAGCAAGTAACAGAACCGGTGATGAGCTGCTCGGAATTGCGTGTGGGGGTGACAGAGATTCCAGACCAGTCGCATTGATCCTTCAGACCGCGGGCCATACAGTGCAGACCCATGCGAAGAAACACCCTGTTTGCCTCCAGGGTGCCCTGGGTTTCTTCGGTTCCCATGGTTTTGCTGTTGAAGGCGTGACGTTCCCACACCAAAAATCAATGGACGTCCTGGGGTCTCAGGGTTGGGTTTCTTGTAGAAGCTTTCTTTTGGTCGGGCCCCCACTGTAGGGCACCCGACCCCTTCTCCATTGCCCGTCTCTCGTCCCAGATCGTTATCCGATGGCTTCGAGAAAAACGCCCCCCGGAGGCCAACAACGAAAGGCTGCACGCCGGTCGTGAGGCTGGGGCGCGAGCGGGGGCGTGAATAAAACGTCGATCGCCCACACGATGGAGGGAGGTGGAGGAGGAGGAGGAGGAGGAGGAGGAGGAGGAGGAGGAGGAGGAGGAGGGAGGAGGAGGGGGAGGGAGGAGGGAGGAGGAGGAGGGAGGAGAGGAGGGAGGAGGGAGGAGGAGGAGGGAGGAGGGGGGAGGGAGGAGGAGGAGGGATGGGAGGAGGGAGGAGGGAGGGAGAGAGGGAGGGAGGAGGAGGAGGAGGAGGAGGAGGAGGAGGAGACGAGGACGAGGAGACGAGGACGAGGACGAGGAGAGGAGAGGAGTAGAAGGAGGAGGAAGAGGAGAGGAGAGGAGGAGGGAGGGAGGGAGGAGAGAGGAGGAGGGAGAGGCGGAGGAAGAGGAGGAGGAGGAGGACGTGGAGGAGGACGAGGAGGAGGAGGAGGAGGAGGAGGAGGACGAGGAGGAGGAGGAGGAGGGAGGAGCAGGAGGAGGAGGAGGAGGAGGAGGATTAGGAGGAGGAGGAGGAGGAGGAGGAGGAGGAGGAGGAGGGAGGAGGAGGGAAAGGAGGGAGGAAGAGGAGGAGGAGCAGGAGCCCCCTCCTTCCTGGTGCGTGCCCTGGTCCGCGCGCGAGGCTGGCACGTCCTGGGCAGCAGCGGCAAGGCCGAGGTGCAGGTGAAGGCCACCACGGGGGGGCCGCCGACGGCGGCCGCCGAGTGCGGTCGGCTCGCGCCGCCTCAAGACTGAAAGCCGACCTGGGGACTCGTTTCGTGCCCAATGGCCTAATGAATCAGGTCCGAGGCGGGAATTTTTCCATATCCACCGCCTGGAGTGTCAGTTTTCGGAGCCTCGGCAGGCGGTGGATATGGACACATTCAGGCCCCCGGGGGCCGACGTACATCAATATCCACCGCCCGCTGGGGCACCAGGACGTCGGTTCCCAGGCGGTGGATGTGGATAAATCCCCGCCTCGCATCAGGGGAGGAAATGGTCGCCTTAATTACAGCTAGTTGCCCTTCGCCCGCCTTCCCCCTGTTTTGGCTTCCCTGGAGGCCCTCGTCGCCACCGCTGGGTTCGCGTCGAAGTTCTGGTCAGAACGCACTCTGGGATATGTCCGGGGGCTAGCGGTGGTGGTGTATAAGAATTGGCCTCGCATTAGCGGGCCCAGAGAGGAGGACCCGCAGCGCGAAGCCCGTGCGGTGTGTGTGTGTGTGTGTGTGTGTGCGTGTGTGTGTATATATATATATATATAGATATGTTTATGTTCACGTACATTATATGGCACAAAGACAGTTCCAGCGCGAATATCTTACCATGCATCGTAGCGATGCCCCTGCTTCTTGGCGGTCACAAAGCCTCCACTCCACGTGGAGGCTCACAGCCGACGGGCCCGATAGGGCCCCAGCCTGAGACCCACGATCTCTGACGTGAGGTCGAGGGGATCACACCAGACAAAACATGGGACGATCTTGTTTGAGATCAATGCCACATTTTAGTTTGCTCGAAAACCCTCTTACTCGAAACTAAACCATGAAAGTTTCGGCTACCAGGGAAAACGTTCTTGGTTGCTAAAAAACATCGTGCAAACCCGCAGATCAGATTCGAATGCTGTACGCAGCGGAAACGTAAGCGCGCGCACATTATTTCACAGAAACCAGGGGGGACATCGAGATTGCCCGGGATGGTATGATTTCGTATGGGAGCGCAATGGTGAGGCAGAATTATATGTAATTTGGAGTGTCCTATATAGGTACCGGTAATTACTGGGGGTAGGGCTTATTTGTTTATGGAAAGAGAAACATTGCTAACAAATGCCGGTCAATGCCCAGCACTGCAATGCGATGCAAAGCCGGGCAGTGCGGCAAAGTACTGTAAAGCAGTGCAAAGCAATGGTTACCAATGCCAAGCAGTGCAAGGCAATGTAACGAAAAACGATGCAACACAACGCAAGCACAGGCAACCAAAAACAACATAATGCAAAGAAGTGCAGAGGCAATGCGGTGCAAAGCAGTGCAACGCAATTCCAAACAAATGCACAACAATTCGATGCGATGCAACGCGGAGCGATCCAGCGGCGACGGCAGCGACGGGCGGCGACGAGCTGGCCAGACCGCCACTGGGGCTCACTTGCCAGCGGCGACGGCGTGGGCGACGGACGGCGACGGGCGCCACCGAGCCGGTTGGACCGCCACTCGGGCCCAGTTCGTGGCGGCGACGGCGGCGTCGACGGGCGGCAACGAGCCGGCCAGACCGCCGGTCAGGCTCATTTTGCCTCCGAGAGGCGCAGTAAGAACACTGAGCTGTGTGGGGAAGACCTATGGGCTCCCAATTTCTTGCACCCAAAGACGACGACGACGACGACGACGACGACGACGATGATGACGACGTTGAAGATAACAAACACCGAACCACGGACACGACGACGACGAACTACGACAGACGACAGCCAAAGAAGACGGAGACTACAGCCGCCCCAAGACCTATGGGCTCCCAAAATATCACTTGTGGACGACAGGTAGCTTCAAGATGGCCTCGGAGCCCCCAAAGGTCACCGAGAGAGCCACAATGTTGCCCCAAGATGAGTCAGGACTACCGTGCGAGAGCTCCAAGAGGCCTACACCAACCTTCAGGGGAGCACAAGAAGGCCCCAAGACGGTCCAAAGAGGCCCCGAGACATCCCCAGAAGGCCTCCCAGCGCTACACCAGTGCCCCAAGACGTTCCCTGGAGGCCGCCGGGATGCCCACAGAAGCCGCCCTAGGAGACCAATCAGTCAAAACCTAAGGGATTCCGCATCTAATTTGCCATGTCTGTCGAGTTCTCACTTGTTGACGAGGTGTAGTCCCTAGCCGTTTTGGCTCGAGCCCCTGAGCTCAAGGCCCAGCTGGCGGCCCAACGGCCGCGTCCGCGTAGCCTGGGCTGGCGGCTTCCGGGGGCCTGGCAGGCCGTACCGGAGGGGGCGCGCACCAGGACGGGGGCGAAGGAAACATCAGGGGCAACGATAGGGGGGGATAGGCACAGGGGGGGAAGTATCGACCCCCAATCGTCCATGGATCGCCGATAGGGGCCCAATTGCCCCAACCCGCCGAGGAAGGTGCGTATTCACTATCGTGGGCCTGTCGCCGATCTATCGGCGATGTATCGCCGATTTCTGGTCGATGCATACCCCCCTATGCCTATCCCCCCTATCGTTGCCCCTCAAAACAGATGGACGACGGGGTGGTCGTTGAGTTGGCGAACCACCTGGTCGTGCAGGTGACCTCGATTGCCGTTTGCCTCCTGTTGGGGAAGAAGCTATGCCCCAACCACGAGGACCCGTGGTACGTGGCCGACTTGTTGGTCTCGCTGGTCGTTTTCCCTTTGCTCGCGGCCGCAGCTATTGGCAGCGTGTTGGATCTGCGCCATACACTAACCTCGCGGTGGACCGGTGTCACGCCCGAAACTCGTTTCTTTTTGCTGTTGTACATCGCCCGTTTTGTGGTGCACATGCCCGTGCAGGCCATGGAAAAGATGAGCCAGAAACTCCTCATCATGATGACCGTCCACCATGCGGTTAGCATCGCGTGTTTCGGAAGTGGCCTCTTGACGGGCCGCATGCACTTCTGGGGCTGCCTTGACGGTTGTTGCGAGGTGTCTACCGTATTCCTGAATTTTATGTATTGTGGCAAGCAGTTCTCCATCCAAGACAGGAGGTTGGAGGATTTGTGCCCCACGGTTTTCGCAGTGAATGGGCTTGGCCTCTGGCTGTCCTTTGTTATTTTCCGAATCATGCTCTTCCCAGCGTGGCTCTACTATTGGTACAGAGACGTGGTCACGCACCCCGAGCTGACGTGGACCCCGTGCTCGCCCATGGAGCGATACATCTACCCCTCGGTGACGGTCATGCTGCTGGTGCTCTCGGCCATGTGGTTCGTGCCGCTGACGAAGGGCGTGCGCAAGGTGGTCCTCGTCCTGCGCGGTCTCGCCCCCCCCGAGCAGGAGGCAGCGGACGACGAGGGCTTCGTGAAGCTGAACGACAAGGAGTGAGGAGGGCATTCGGCGGGTCTGGCTGGATGACGGGCGCTTCCTGCGCACGTCTTGAGTTCGCCGCCTCCTCAAGGAAAAATAAACAAACTTGTTCACGAAGTGTAGCTCCAAGATGGCCCTCCTGCCTCAAAATGTCCCTCAGAGAGCCCCAATATTGCCCCAAGATGGCCCAGGACTTCTCCGTCCGCAGCCATTGTGACTCAATCAATGAACATGGCATCTCCGAGCTCCAAAGAAATGTTTGCAATGGGAGTCTCAGAGCGAGGCGCCAGAGGTGCCTTGTGCATCTTCATATCGGCAATGGCAATCGAGGTGTTATACGTGGTGCCTTACGGGTTGATGTCATCCTTCCGACATCTTTTTCTGGAGACTTTCCGCTTGGGTAACCACGAAGTTGGTACGTTATCGTCGGTGTATGGCATTGTCAGCATGTGCCTCTACCTTCCAGGAGGCTGGGTAGCCGACCGCTTTCGACCGAAGTTGTTGATGGCTGGTGCGCTCTTGATAACGGCTGCATGTTGTTGCTACCTGCTCACGGGCCCTTCGTTCTCGGAGTTGATCGTCGTTTGGGCTCTTTTGGCTGCTGTGGGCACTCTCCTGTTTTGGTCTGCCTTCGTATCGGTCATACGACAGATCGGTGGCGAGGACCATTCGGCGATTGCTTTCGGTTTTGAGCAGTTCTCACGAGGCGCTGTACTATCATTGATGACCTTGGCGTTGGCTGCTTGGATGCGCCAGGCGATGCCGGCCCAGACAACAGCTACCGCTCATGATAAACGGATGGCTTTGAACATGTTGCTCAAGGGTTTTGCCGTGCTCAACGTTGGGATGGCCTTCGTGATCATGTTCGCTCTCCCATCCGGGATGGCCGCGCAGGTCGATGAGCGCTCGGCTATAGATACGAAAGGAGCCAGCACCATGGTTGATATTGTGCGGCGGCCCGTGGTTTGGTTGCATGCGTTGATCGTAGTCGCGGCCTATTCTGGCAATCTGGCGACCGACCAGTTCTCAGGGTTTGCGAGGTACGGTTACGCTATGGATGTTGTGCAGGCCGCAGAGGTTAGCTCATTGGTTAAGGCGATGCGTGCTTGGTCGGGGCTCCTGGCTGGCGTGGCAGCTGATCGCTGGGGTAAGTCCAGGGTATGCTGCGGCCTGTTCTTATCTTACAGTTGTGCTTACTCTTGGGTGGCCCTGGTGCCAGTCGACCCGAATCACCCAGGCATGCTGATGGCTCAGATTGCGGTCTCATCGGCTAGTGTGTATGGAATTGCAGGGGTCTACTTCGCTCTTCTCGACGACGCGAAATTGCCTCTGGGCCTTACAGGCTCTGCAGTGGGCATGATCTCTGTCATCGGCTTTACCCCAGATGTCTTCATGGGCGAGATCTCGGGATACTGGCTAGACACCTACCCTGGCGCGAGAGGCTATCAGTACTTCTACTCCTGCATGGCCTGCGTTGGGCTTTGTGGTTTTCTAGTGAACCTCGCCTTCGCCCTCGCCGTTGCAAAATGCAGCGACACGGGGTCTACTCCTGGTTTGGCTTCGGAATCAGATCGACCCAGGGCAATGCGGGCCGAGAGCAACACCTCTGTCATACTCGATGCCGTCTCTGTGTCGGAGCACCCAACGTTCCCGCTGTATGGGGGATGCGTTTCTACAGGCAGCCGGCGTAGACCCGTTGCGTGTTTGGCGAGCGTTTAATTCGTGTCCCCCCGAGTCGGTGCCTGTTCTGCGCATCAGCTAGTCGGTGCCGGTCCCGGGGCAGGCCTCCGAGCATGCAGGCTGCCTGGTCCCCTGTTGTGCATGCCAGGACGGCCATCCGAGCGACGTGCCAGTAGTGCCCGAGGTCGGGAGACCAGGCATCATGACCACGACCGCGGGGCCCTTTTTCGGTCACAGACTGCTGGGGCCTCGCGCGTGCGCGCCCGGACTCTGCCGTCCGCGGGCGGGGAAGAGGAGGAAGCGGCAGGCTGCAGCGGGCTGCCCCCGCGAGAGCGCCGCGAGGGCCGACGCCGGCCTCCCGAGGAGCCCAAGACGGCCCCGGAGGGCCCCAGGAGAGAGCCCAAGACGGCCCCAAGAGGGCCTCCCGAGGCTCCCGGCGCTATTTTGTTGCCGAGGGGTGCTCTTAGAGTGTCTCAAGGGCGGATGTGAGAAAAAACTGTACGTTCGAAGGACGATTCCGCCGACAGGGCGTGCCCAATCCTGCTGCCGGTTGCCGTGCGCTACAGAGAGGCCCGCAGACGGTCCCGAGAGGTCGCTCTGAGTGCCCACAGAGGCTTCAGAGGTGCCAAAGCAGCGAACACAGGCTAGGAACTCCGGATGCGTTGCATCATTGTCTGGATTTCTCATCGGTTGGCGACATGTAGCTCGAGGACAACTTCGGAGCCCCAGAAAGTCCCTAAGAGAGCCCCAGAGTGAATTCAGGATGGCCCCATGCGAGGCTGTGTGTAGCAATCCGCGAGGGGTGTGTTCACTATTTGCATGTTTCCGCCGCACGCGCTCTTCTTTTATGCACAAACCACGCCGTTCCCGCAGGCGGGACGAGGCTTCCTGGGGCGCTCGATCGGACTCGTGCGAGGGACCCAGGACTGCCCCCCGAGAGTTCAAGAGGGCCGACGGCGGCCTCAGCCTTGAGCCGAGATGTGAGCGAAAGGGGGAGCCCAAAAGCCTTGAGTCTTAAGCCTTGAGCCAGAAGAGCCTTGAGCCTTAAGTCTTGGGCCTCTGGAGGAGCCCAAGGAAGGCCCCAAGACGGCCCGAAGAGACCCCTGGGCTTATCCTCAAGTCGGGCC